ATCTATTACATTCATAAACCTCATGATATTTGGAAGACGGGTGGCCGGAACCAAAAGCTCCATTCGCTTTAGAGGACGACATAGCGTTACATAAAAGCTCGAGCACGTGAAAGAATGATGTTCACCTGAAGCGCTCTTTGCATGCATTGTTGAGCTAACATCCCCATAAAAGTCGCCGAAATGGTCACCTAGATCGAAGATATCGTTACCGTCCCCATCACCTCGCCTGATTTCAACTCCACCGATAAGGTTGTGTCGAACTGCATGTGCACTCTTTTCTACCAACGCACAGAAACGATAACTGACCTCAAAAAAGAGACCACTGACCATGAAAAAAAGAAGGTAGAATTCAGGAATCTTACCGCTCGCATGTTCATTTTTGATGCGAAGTCACAATATCCCACAATTTTGAGAAGAATCTCATTTGGCAGTTCTTCAAATCTGCAAGAAAAAAGTTACAACTGCCACAGAAGGACAGGACTTCAAAAACTATTCATCGAAGACAGCATGTCTTGCCCTACTAAATTTCCACAACCTTTTCATCAAAACTGAATACCAGAAGAATCTGATATAAGTAGAAACTAGAAGAATAGATAGACTAATAGAAGAAGTAGGTGTATCTATGGTAAAATGGACCAGCTGAACATAAGATGTCAGACTTTGCGAACAATCGCTAGCGAATCGAGGGGATCGCGCGATTCGCTAGCGGTTAGTAGCAGAACTGACACCTCTGATAGCATTAAACCATGCGCCACTTCGTGCAGATGGCGACAGGCAAGATAAACTGAACACCTCGGAATAGTCAGGCTTCAGAAGAATTAAACAATATCGGGCCTCAGTCAGGGTTATTGAAACGAAGGCGACGAGGCCGAAACGTAATCAAATTAAGGGTACTATTATGTTATCTTGGTCGCAGTTTCAATAGATACTACAAACCATGCCAAGATTTAGTGAAAGTCGAACAGGGATGCTTATAAATATCGGGCCTGTTGCTGACGGCATTGATTTTCAAGGACTGCAAAATTCAACATGATTACAAGAAGCTCACCGCGTTCCATTTCTCGGAGCGATTAACTTTCTCGGACAACAGAACACCAACGAAGAAAGAAACCAAGTGATTACCTCGGAAACCTGAATTGATCATGTTTACGAGCAAAAATTGAGCCACAGACGTTCAAAACATGCAACCTTCTTCGATATCTTCCTCACTACGAAGTTCGGTGATTTTTTAGACGAGTAGAGAACGCCATGAGCTTTTTGTTCCATCTGGCATGTACCCTGAAAATAATAGCACCGGAATATTGAGGACGTCCAGCTACTGATAAGCTTATTTCACAGATGTTAGGAGCTTACTTCAAATGTGTTTACACACTCGGTCAAAAGATTCGATCGGCAGTGGTTGCAAACGCAGAGACAGTCCGTCTCTGTACCAGACTTCTGGAGACGTTTGCAAAACCACGGACAAATTTTGATAGCTCATAAATAATATATCCTCTCCAGAGCCTTCCATGGTTCTTGAAAGCCAAGACAAAGTTGGAATGAAATTTGGATAGAAAGCCTTTTAATTTGTGACTTGTATTACTGTTGACACACATGCATGAAGAATCAGAAACGGCTGTTGGTACACAAGAACACAGTAACTACGGGATATCCTTGAATGGGGAAAGGTTTATGGACATCTTGAACTCAAAGTCCTTTAAACTGCGTCGACTGATGCTCGCACCTGCGCCCTCTCGCGTCATCGGCGGCTTATGATTACTGTGATCAGATACGTGCGAACATTGCTGCAACTTAATCGGCTCACCCCCTCCGAAGCAGGGTGAAAATCGTGTCGAGGACGTGGTCAGATCATTACGACCCCCCCCCCAAATCCGGATCTTGATGCAACTCCTTGGGTCGTTGCTGTCGTCCGACCGACTATGCGTCCGGCCAAACAGTGTCACGTGACAGTGGACACTGTTTGAAAGTGGCGGGCTTCCTTTAAACGTTGGGTCCCGCCACTATTGAGTCGCTGGTACCTAGTTCGACTCGCTGGTGCATCGTTCGATTCGCTGGCGCAACGCTCGGATCGAGCGATTCGCTAGCGAATCGCTCGATTCGCAAACTATGACATCGGCCTAACCGCACGCATAGTCGGTCGGACGACAGCAACGACCGCAAGTGTCGCATAAACCGCGGTTGCAAATGGAAGGCGACGCGGTCACCCAATGCAAACCCAGACAACACGTGACTGCGCGTGATCGTATTTCGAAAGTCCCACTGTAGTGTGGAATAGTAGCTGCGTATTGATCCGGACGCATAGTCGGTCGGACGACAGCAACGACTGCTGCTGTCGGACGACAGCAACGACTGCAGGTGTCGCATAAACCGCGGTCGCAAATGGAAGGCGACGCGGTCACCCAATGCAAACCCAGACAACACGTGACTGCGCGTGATCGTATTTCGAAAGTCCCACTGTAGTGTGGAATAGTAGCTGCGTATTGATCTGCGACACTTGCGGTCGTTGCTGTCGTCCGACAGCAGCGGTCGTAAGTGTCGCATGTGTCGCAGATCGATACGCACCCAATACTGTGCGACACTTGCAGTCGTTGCTGTCGTCCGACAGCAGCGGTCGTAAGTGTCGCATGTGTCGCAGATCGATACGCACCCAATACTGTGCGACACTTGCAGTCGTTGCT